AGAAATCCATTTCGGGTTTCGAGTGAGTGACCGAACTAACAAGAGAGACTTCTGTGCAGGATGGTGTTGCGGGCACAACTGGTCCCCCCGCCTTCTTCGATTATTTCTATAGCAATTAACCAGTAAGATGTCCCCCCCCCCCCCCCCCCTCCCCCCGCGCCGCCCTCGCCTTTGCTACTGCACCCTCCTCGCCCTACGACCCTTAAGAGCGCCACCGGCTTTGCGCACACGAACCATAACAATTTCACGATACAAGACTGTAGTTTTGTTTTTTTGTTCGTTGAAGTTCGTTGGGCTGTTCGAGTCAATAAACACGTGAGATGTGTGGGCTGTTGAGCGTGGGAAACGTCGCAGTCAGCTATGAGTTGGTCCTTGCTGCCTGCTTTTGTTTTCATCTTTGCATCACACCCGTTGATGACACTGCTGCTTTGCTCCTGTGAGCCTACTCCGGAGGGGTCACTTGTACACGGCGTGTATTACTAAGCTAAACCAAAAACAAAAAAAAAACACACACACAGGGGGAACGTTCTTGGTGGGGGTGCTGGTGCTCGGACAGACCCCGTCGTGGATGCACTCGTTCACCGCCTGGCCCGCGCTCGCGGTGGCGTGGTGGCTCACGTTCTTCTCGCCCTGGGACCTGTGGCACGGCCGCGCCATGAGCAACAAGGCCTGCATGTTCTTGGCCGCGTTCGGGAGGGCCGTGTCGGCGTCGCACGCCATCACGTCGTGGGGGGCGGACAAGGCGAGAGCCGAGCTACTGTGTTGCTGCTGCTGCTGCTGCTGCTGCTGTACTGTGTACGCGTAGCAGGAGTGTTTTTATGTGACCGACATGCATGCTGTACCACATCAAGATATAGAGGATGTTTGTGTGTCGTAAGGTAATGTTCAACAGTGAATGACGCGGTGTGGTGGTGAATATCCTGTGTGCGCCGGGGGGGGACGGAGGGGGGCACACGGAGGGGCTACGTTGTTGGGAAATGGGGAGGGACCGGGGACATGGGTCTCTTTGTGAAAGCATACTTGAATTTTGAGAGAGAGAGAAGAGAGATAGAAAGGGGAATGAATGTTCATCTTAGTTGGGAATATAGCAGCAGCATCAAATGCGCGTCCACCCTTGCTGTCGCTCGCCGGGGAAAAGCACTTCCCAATCGATGTTTCCCCTTGGTGTCGAACACGCTTCCAAGCTGCTTCTCCCTCCTGCCCCCCCCCCCCCCCTGCCCCGCCCTCGCTCCCGCTCCGACCCATGCTTTGCTCTCGGCTCTGTAGGCTCTTACCGCACACTTCGAGAAGGCTAAGATGTCTGCGATCTGCACGATCCTTTGCGGCACGCTGGCGGGCTGCGGCGGCGGCATCCTGGCCGACCTCCTCAAGTGTGTTAACTTAACGAAAATGCACGGAGCAAAAATATTTTGGGTGTTGCGTTACCGTGTAGTCCAGTGCTCGTCGAGTTGTTCGCTTTCCCGACCCGACGTCTCGTTGCGCACCGCAACCCTTGAAACCAATCGTCCCCGTCACTACTTTGGTCAGCTCCTTTTCTGGAAAATATTAAGTACAAAAATCACAGAAAAGACTACCCGTTCGAGATAGAACCACAGCAGCCGCTTGAGCGGGGAGTGCTCTGTCTGCTACTTTGTATGCGATTTTGCTAGGATGCACGCGGGGTTCTCGCCTCGCGTGCGCCCTTCCCCTCCGACCAAACGAGCTTTTTTTTTCTACCACCATCACCGCCGTTCCAGGTGTATTAGAGTCATACTTTTATCCGAGCCTTTTTATGTCGTTTGCTGTTGCGTCAGCTGCTTCTGCCGCTGCTGCCCTAAAATCTCGTGCTGTTGCTTTGGCGTTGTCACGTACCTGATGCTGTGCTGCGCTGTGCTGTGCTGTGCTGTGCTGTACTGTACTGTACGATACAATGCGTTTGCCACCCGTCAGGCTCCGTCCGCGATGCGGGTGCTTGGAGATGTCTGTTGGGCGAAGGAGAAGGGGGGTGTTTTCCACTGTGGTGATACGGTGTTTGGGCGTCCACGATTTTAAACAAGAAAGTCCATGTGTCTGACGAAGATTTAGACGCCAGCCAAAGTAGCTTGTGCGTGATACGACCGGTCACATGTCTTTCTTTCCGCGTGGTGAACAAAAAACGAAATTTCCAACGCGGAAATGCCCGTTTCGTCCCCCCCGGCGCTTTCAACTGCTCCAGCCTGGACGGAGACAGCTGGAACCTTCAGAGAACCCCTCAGGCGCTAGCGTCGCCGTCTTTCTCCGTGCAGCGCTGCTTCGGGGCATCCTGTCTCTACTACCTCCTCGCAGATCCTCACGGGTATCTCTCTGAAGAAGCGGTGAGTCAGCGACTCAGTGACAATTGTTGGGGGGTTTTCGTGATGTGCGTTTTTTTCTTGTTCGTGTTGCCATGTTATGCTGTTGCTAACATCGGCCGCGGTTACCGGCTGACCGACTAAAAGATGTTGTGGCTCAGCGGTACGACTAGACACGGGGAACGCTTCTAAATGCAGCCCATGATCTGGGACCCCGTGTGTGTGTGTGTGTGTCAACCATGGAGAGATGAGTGGGCGCAGGCAATAAACCCGTTCGGCATTCATCATCCAGTGTGAACCTGTAATGTTCAACGCGTGTGTTTTGCTCTCTTGCCCTCCTTTGTTTCCCCCCTGCGTTTTTCCCGGCCGGCGTGCTGTTGTTGTTGTTGTTTTTGCTGCTGCTGCTGCTGCTGCGGTCCCCCCAGCCCTTCCCTCTGTCGTTGCTCGGCCGGCTTTCGGTGGACCACGGGAACGGACCGTCAACCGAAGCTGCCGCCATGGTGGCCGTGTACGTCACGGCCAACCACCTGATGGACTACTTTATCCCTCGCGTAAGTCTCGTTTTCTTTGATGGTGTTGTTGTTGTTGTCGTCGTCGTCGTCGTCGGGATTGGTGGTGGTGATTGTTTGTTGACGATATTGGTGTCTGTGGTCGTGGAACTTTCGAGCATGTAAGTAACCGTTCTCGGACCGGTCTGATTTTACGGCCGATCAAGCTGCATCCTGCCGATGATCGCGTCGAGTGCGGGATGACCCACTTCTCACCGCCCGCCTAATCTACATTGACATCTCTTTATCTCTCCGCGTATGTCTCCATCCTTATTTCCTCTGTGCCCCTCCTCCTCCCCGCTATCACCTCTCGCTCTTCTCCCTCCCCGGGGTCTT